CCCCTTCTTTTACACCTCTACACCTCTTGACCTTTGACCCCCAGCTTCAACATCCCAACTCGTTTTCGGATTACCCCCCCCCCACGTCCCGACTTTCGAATCCGTACGTCGAGCCGTTTAGATTTGTGCCCAACTGTTGACGGACGCACGCACGGACGGACGGACGCACGCTCATGCGATTCTACAAGCTGCATCTGACTATGTCAGATGAGCTAATATTAATAATAGTAATATGCCAGACCGTACCTCGCCTACTCCACTAACGACTCTAGGGCGTCGCCTACTATAGCCCGTATAGGGAGTACGGCCCAAGGATAGAGAACATGGGTCCCAATATATCCAATGTGCCTAAACCTAACCCTAACCCTAATTCTAACCCTAACTCTAACCCTAACCATAACCCTAACATATTATATTGATGTAATATTATATTTATATTGATGTAAATTACATTGGTTTTATTGGGACCCATGTTCTCTATTCTTGAACCGGGAGTACTATAGCCTAGATACAATAATGTAACCCAAACCCAAGAGGATAGGGTTACAAAGCCTCCCTATCCTTTTGTGCAGAGGAATGCCCGAGTGAATCACTCGGGCCGGTTTGCTGGTGCGTTTTCAGAGACTAGAACTTCCAAACTGGGTTTATTCTCAACACGAACCTTTCTGAGCACGCACGCACACAGCAGCCGCGACCGGTTCCGGACGCGTAGCCACTGAATTATTTTTAATATAACATATAACGTATGGTTTATAATAACACTATTCTGAGTTTTACCATAGTAGATATAGAAGAGAAGATATTCTCTTCTATATCTATGGTTTTACCTAGAAATATCACGAACTAGAGTTTGTAAACATGAACGCGTCCATCCTTTCCCATGTACCGCCACCTAGAGGACGCGCTCGTAAAATTTTGTTCTTATAGCACACACACAGCTTTTGTTCCCTTTCCTTTTTTTTACTTCTTGTATTTTCTCGCTCCATTTACCTATTGTATCTTCTCGCTCCCTTTACGCCATGTACCTTGTCGTCTTCTTTATCATCTTGCTTTCTTCACCTCTTGTGTCTTATCGTCACTTTCACCCTCTTGCTTTCTTCACCTCCACTATCTTGGCATCTTTTTCCTCCTGTACGTTTTTGTCTCCATTGCCTCCTCTCTTTCTCATACCCCTCCTTGCCTCATCTCTACTTGCCTACGCTACCTACTTCAGTCTTCTACTTCTCCCTCTACTCTTGCTCGACTTTCTTTTTTTCTCCTCTACTCCTTCTGACCACTCAACACCTATAAATAATTATAGTGCTGGGAGGAGTTTCAGCAATTAGTTTAATTGCCTCGGTACGAGTAACATATATAGAATGGTTCTTCGAGTTATGCACCTAAAGATTCTATAAAGATGAAAGCGCTTGTGTAAAACTAAATGTCGGATTATTCTTTTTTTAACTATAAACCTATAATATATAATACACAGGGGCGGCGCCAGGGTATTTTCTTAGGGGGGAGGGGGGCGAAACAGGAGCACGCGAAGGGGGGGTCTGGGGGGCTCTCCCCCAGAATTTTTTTGAAATTAGACCCCCTCAGATGCGTTTTCTGCGCGAGCAGGGGGGGTCCGGACCCCCTGGACCCCCCCTGTACACGGCCCAGGGAACTGTAGACTCTGATACCGTGTGCGCTTGCACTGACGGGTGGGGTCCAGGGGGTAGATTCATGATTCATCAAGCTGCGTACGCAAAATATTTTGCGTAAATCTTGTGTACGCAATCGACGTTGCTTAGTTGCATGCGATTCATCAACACAGCTATTTAGTAAATTTTCGTACGATTTCGCGTACGCAAGCGAGGCCGTTTTATGTGCGATTCATCAAGCTAAAATTTACGTAAACCTTTGCGTAACTTTACATGAGCTGACGAGGTGCAGTAAACCACTCGAAATTTCCGCAGGTGTTTCCAGCATACCGCAGCATGCATTATTTTATTGAGAAAACATAAAATTACTACTCAACTAAAAATAAATAAATAATTACCATACTACACAGACAGGCGGCGCCTTTGACGCTTTTTTTGTCATAGCTTGGCATTGTTTTCGTTATAAGAGAGTTCGTAGTAAGCCGTGTACGTGCACACAAGCACGCACGTGTACGTACGCACGCACGCACGCCCGTGTACGTACGCAAGCACGCACGTGTACGTAGCCACACGCCCGCACGTGTTACGTGCCACACACCACGCACGCACGCACGTGTACGTGCACACGCACGCAACGCACTTGTACGTGCCACACGCACGCACGCACGTGTAACGTGACACGCCACGCACGCGCACGTGTTACGTGTCGCTGCTTTCATCGAGGTTGAACCAATCATACAAACGAAAATGAGGA